AATAAAAATAAAAATAAAAAAAAGAAAAGTATAATACAAATAAAAGGAAAGCAGGATCTTGAGGACTAACTAATCAAGAGAGGGAAAGGAGACGAGCTAGGAAACATGACAATGTCAAGCCATATAGTTATATGTAGAAGATGGATAAAGCAATGATCCTGAGAATCTCCAGAAGATTTTTGAATCTAGCACTTAATTGGAAAGATTCTCACCCTGACTAACTATATATACTGACACCTGTGAACTAAGCTACTGCACTGCAGATGGTAATCTGTAATAGTAGTTTCATGCTTGGAGTGCCTGTCATTCTGTTCTTCTGAATACAGGCTGCTTGCCATGACATGCCAGTTGCTGCTGTGCTGTCTCTTGGGTAGATGATTGTTCAAAAAGAAGGGGATGATGAATGAATGCAGGAGACAGGAAAAGGAATATTGTGGGACTGTCCCTGCTTCAAGGTTGTATATGGTGAGATTTTTGGGCTTATGTGTAAACATAAGAAGTATATAATTCTTTATGCCTGCTTTTAAAATATACTCTAATTTTTAAATGTTTTTTCATCATATTCTGTAGGGACTTAAAGTTCAACATATCAATACTTGATGAAAAATATCTGTTCCATGTTATGCCTAAGATGTTTGATATTCAGACATATAGTGAGGTTAAGCTTAACAGCCTAAGTTGTATGGTAATAACAATAAGCTTTGGGGCCGGGGAGATGGCTCAGTAGAATAAGTGCTTCCCTGGCAAGCACAAGGGCCTGAGTTCAATCCCCAGTTCCACAAAAAAAAAAAACAAAAAACAATAAGCTTGTCTTCTGGAGGGTTAACAACCTAAGTTTGCAGACCAAAATTAGAGAAAAAGCAGGGTCGCAAGGAAAGCCAACATTTTGGCTCTAGCCTTGCAAGATCAATTAAGACTCAGGACATATAAGACTTGTACTATAATGTCATGTAACTCAGTAGTCTCCCAAATTTTCTGATCAAGGAGATTATGGGGCCAAAGAGGAAAGTGATCGATGATGTAGAGTGTACCTAAGGAGAGTCATATGGAGAGAAAACATTCCCTCAGGCTTTCACAGAGAGCACATTGGCCAAGCAATGGCAGTGACTCATCCACATGGCTGGCACTGACAAGGTTCTACAATCTGAGGTACAGGATCTCATGGATAAATCCTGAGGGGATTTCACTGACCTTATCAGACCCAAAAGCTACAACTCTCGTTGCATAGGTCCTGCTTTACCTTGGTCTTAACCATCCAGCAGAAAAGTATAAAAATGAAATATAAGAAGTAAAGCCATGCTGTTATGTTGAGCTGTAGGGGATCAGGTCAACAATTTCTGACATTGCCAGTTAAACAGAAGACCCAATGCTATTATGAGCTACTGGACTCTTTTAGACTATTTTGCTGAGCTTACACACCTATAATATTCAAATAACCGAACTTAACAATAAAGGGGATACAGATGAATGTCCATTTTGTATCTGTGTATTCAAAGTGATTAGGATAGATATATAGTTATATTCTCTTAATGAATAGTGGGATTTGTTTTAATAGTGTTTGTAAATAGGATATCATGTCCGCATCTTGTACAGAAAATAACCACTAGGAAGAATGTATGCAATGTGTTAATTATTGAAACTGTCCTACCAATTTGGTTTGAAACTGTGTCATTGATATTTGTTTCTAAAGAAAATTATGGAAAAACTACATAAATGAATAAAAATTTAACATGCTGATTGACAATGTGACTGACAGGGAGTGGAGTCTGGTCAGCTATGTCCACTGCACACGTTTTTTTTCCCTTAATTCTCTCTTATAGTTGGATTATGTATGAAGCTTTAGTGGACTCCAACCAAAGAAAGTTAACCATAGGCCATGCCAACAGGTCTGGCATGCATTTATCTTGGGATTTCCCATTTTTCAGGTGTTTTTGTCTTTCTCCTCTCTGCCTCTAGACAGTAGACCTTAGGACAAAGGTCAGGGAGGTTGGTCCTAGGGTTTTGTCCAGGTACAGGTGAGCAGAGGGGATGGTCCCATAGCCCCAGCTGTACTGATATTGGGAAGTGAAACTCCCGACCTGACCTGCACAAGTTCGTGTTCTCTAAAACCGAAGAATGAATTTTAGGAACAAACGGAGGTTGAGAGTAAAACTTTATTGGAAAGGAAAGCTTCTGTTGGAGAGGGACAGAAGGGGGGCCCAAGCGGGTTGCCCAGGAAGCTGCCTCTTCCAGGTTACCTTTATAGGGCAAAACCATGCAGCGCTAAGGTATAGAAGAAGGGGTCTTGCTTAGGTGGATGCGGGGTGGGACAAAACTATGGTCAACCAATGGGATTACAAGCACCATTGCTCAGGTAAAATTGATTAGGCCCAGGAACAAATGGGGTAGCGAGTCACACAGCAAGCAGGCATGAATGTAAAACAGGACCTTATCTGGTGGCCTTTGGACAATGATTCTTCCTGAGCAATGATCAATCCTGGTCTTTAGGTCTGGCTCAAAGCAGGAGCATCCGTGCCTCCCACAGTTGTAAGGTGTGGTCTTTGTTGTCTCCTTCAAGGGCCTGACCCTGTCTGATTGCCTATAATATTTCTAACTCAGGCTGCCTGCGATAGTACTGTTGTACCACATCATTGTTTTGTTGTTGCTGTTGGGTTTCTGTGTGTATTTTGAGACAGGGTCTTGCTATGTAGTTCAGTGTGGTCTTAAACTCACTAGGCTGGTTGTGAGCTTATAGCGACCCTCCTGCTTCAGCCTCCTGAGTACTTGGGATTACAGGTATGCAGCATCACACCCAGGACTAGAAAGCTATCACTGAACATCTCCACTTAGCCCCAACAGACCATACCGAGCCAAAATGGAGTCGTCAGCTGCTAAAGAGGAACTTTCAGGGCCAGGGATATAGCTCAGCAGCACAGTGCCTACCTAGCAAGTGCAAGGTCCTGAGTTCAACTCCTGGTACCAATCTCCAGAGAAAATTATAAAAACCTGGTTCAGACAGCCAGAACCTGCACAGTGCCTCTTCTAGGCGACCTAGCATAAACACTGCTCATTATACTAAATTCTCTAGCCTGGAGGCCTTTGAGCCTTCCTAAGCTCAATTTATCTGCTACAAGTAATGAACTTGCCAGTCTTCTACATCCTGGTTGTGCTTATCAGCTTTGCCAAATGCCACGTGATCAAACAGAAGTGGTAAGGAAGCAGATAAATCCCAAGACAGACCAGTTTTTCTTAACAGATTTCAGTTTACCTGTCAGAATAACAAACAATAACGTCCCTCTGCTTTGCCTCTCATCAAAAAAAAAGTAACTAAAGTACCCTGATGTTAGCCAATCCATTGTTTTTATTGTTTCCTTGTTCCTGTTTTACCGGCTGTTCTGCCCTTCATGGGTGGGGGCTACCGTTTTCTTTTGTAAAATGTAAGCTGTCACAATATATGAATTGCTCATAAAAGCCAATTAGATCTATAGCTGCATGTATATTGGTTTGTCTTGACAAAAGCTACTAGTTAAACAGTATTTGGGTTAACACACACACACACACACACACACACACACACACACAGAGTCCAGGAGCTCAGCCACATAAGCTAGTTTTGAGGCAGCAGGTGGAGAGCCCCTAGTCTACGTCAGCCCCTGCTTCCACAGTGAAACGACCTGGCCGGCCCACCTTTGGAGCTAGGGCGCGAACCAGAGAGAAATCGATCGTCCCGGCTGCCTAGTAAGTCGGGGACCCCAGGTGGCGACCTTCCCCAGGCCTGGTCCTGGGTGGGGGCGGGGAGCGGCCCTATCGTGAGGTTCATTGTGGCACTTCAGGGAGAGCAGTCCGCCAAAGATGCTGAGTCCCGGGCAGTGCCAGCAGCGGTAACACAATCGAGGCGTCCTGTGATGGTGGCGGGAGCAGAGACGGCCCTGGGGGGAGGAGAAACCCCGCCTGGCAGGCGCAGGGTCGGGAGCAGGAAGTCGCTCGGGGCGCGGCAGGTGCTGCGCGGGGCAGTGTCCAGGGCACCCAAGAGGCGAGCGTAGACTCCGGCACCCGCACCCAGGCGGGAAGACCCCATTTTCTGGAAGCAGGGACTCCAAGAAGGGGTGCCCCGAGAGCTCGGGTCCCGGCCGTCGCAGGTCTGGAACGCGCGGCGAGTGAGGTCTAGGGGGCGGCGGCGTGCCCTCCCGCCTGTGGGAGCACTGCTCCGGGCTCGGTGAGGCCCGTGGACCGTGGAAATCTCAGGCGCGGAGAGCACTGCGACAGAGTCTGGGAGAGTGGCTTGGGCTGGTGGAGGAACGCGGGACTAGCGAGGGGTCTCGAGCCGAAGAGAGCAGACGTGGCGCGAGGCTCCTGTGCGCACCCGCATTCCGCGAGGGGGAGACAGATCCGCGCGGAGCCGGGAGTGGGGAGGAGCCTCTGGAGCAGCCTGCCAGTGTGGGCGGGGGAGGAGGAGGGAGCCTCCACGTAGCGGGAGACGCTTGGGCACCCACAAAGCTCGCCCGTGGCTGCGGAGCGCCCCCACCTCCGGCGGGCGGCCGAGCACGAGCGAGGCAAGCTAGACCTGCGCTCACCGGCTGCAGCCTTAAGGACGCCTTCGGGCGCACGGGCCCTTTAAGGCGGGGCCGGGCGTGTCAGGAAGTGAGCCGTGGCCCCGCCCCGCCCGGGAGGTGGCCTCGGACGTCCGGAGTCTTGGGGCAGAGCCGGGTTGGTGGTCTCCGTGCGGACCCGCCCCAACCCCTCTGACAGCCCAGGGAACCCTCCGCCTTTCCGGGCTCCCCGTGCTCCTCCCCAGCCCTTGCCCCTTCCCCACCCCACCCTCGCCTCCCCTCCTTTCTCCCTGCCCTTGTTCCCTGCGAGGCCCCAGCCCCTTGTCCCCAGCGGGTGGCCTCTGTCCTGGCCCCGCCCCGGAGCCTGTCTCCTCCTTTCTCCGGGCTCTCCTCCCTTGCACGCCCTACGGGAGGAAGCGGGCTGTGGAGCAGCCCTGCTGGCCTCACCCCAAAGCAAAACTTCATCCCTGAGGAAAAGAGGCACTTAGGCCACCCCCTGTTGACCCCTGAGGGCTGTGCCTGCCCTGTGTCCTGGAGAGTACGTTCTGGCCGCGGGGTGACCCACCTCCTTTCCTGCCATGAACAGGGCACCCCTCAAACGGTCCAGGATCCTGCACATGGCACTGTCCGGAACCTCCGACCCCTCCGGGGATGAGGCAGGTAGCGAGGAGATGCCCTTCCTGCTGCGGGCCCTGCAGATCGCCCTGGTGGTCTCCCTTTACTGGGTCACCTCCATCTCCATGGTGTTCCTCAACAAGTACCTGCTGGACAGCCCCTCCCTACAGCTGGACACCCCCATCTTCGTCACCTTCTACCAATGCCTGGTGACCGTGGTGCTATGCAAGGGCCTCAGCATACTGGCCACCTGCTGCCCAGGCATCGTGGACTTCCCCGCCCTGCGCCTAGACCTCAGGGTGGCCCGCAGCGTCCTGCCACTGTCCGTGGTCTTTATCGGCATGATCACCTTCAATAACCTCTGCCTCAAATACGTCGGTGTGGCCTTCTACAACGTGGGCCGCTCGCTCACCACGGTCTTCAACGTGCTGCTCTCCTACCTGCTGCTCAAGCAGACCACCTCCTTCTACGCCCTACTCACCTGTGGCATCATCATCGGTGAGTGGCTGCAGGGGACAGGGCGGACATGGGGCTGAAATCCTAAGGAACAAAACTTGCAGACATCTTTGGATGTCATCTGTACCATCTTCCTTGGTTCAGCAGTCATATAAAGAAGAGCCTGGGGCCCAGAGAGTCCAGGTACCCTGCTTCTGGTCAGCCAGCAGGTTAGGAACCCAGCCAGGGCAAAAATAGTAATAATCATAATAGCAACAGCTACAGTGTAACATGCTGTCTTTATTTAAAATGAGCCAGGCACCCATATCTAAGCACTCTACCCATATTAAGGCAACTAATCCTCATAAGATGGGGTTACTGTCTACAGCTTACAAAGTGAAAACCAAGGCCCAAGAGGTTGAGTATCTTGTCAAGAAGCTCACAGCTGAGTGAGAATCTGAACTCGAGCAGGAATCTGCACTCAGGCAGTCTTGCTCCGTAGCTTGCTCCGTAGCTTGCTCCCTTGGCCACCCTACCCTGTTGCTTCCCAAGGGCTCACGTGCCCCAGTTGCCTATCTAGTTCTCTTTATGGAGGATAGTGCATCTTTCAATAAACCCACCAGCGCCCTCCAGCCTTGCTGGCTCAGAATAAAACCTCAGAGCATGGCCTTAGCTGTCATCTTAGACTTATCAGAAAGGAAGAATTATTGAGGAAGATGTTGCGCTATTGGTATCGCACAGAACATCTTTGTCCAGAAGTCCTGAGTGGTAACAGCCCTGCAGTCACCAAACCGAGGGTTAGAGAACTTAAGTTACTTGCCCAGGGCCACATATCTAAGCCCAGGTTGGCCAGACTCCAGCCCTGGACCTCTAACCGCTGTGTTGTTGTCTTGTCAACCAAGGTTAGAGTTCCACCGTGCTATACACTGACCATCTCCATATGTAAATTAAGCACAATTAAATGCAAATTTAAGGGCTGTTTGCTGTCTCTGGTGCTCCATTACTCCATTCCCTCCACCCTCCTGGCCCGAGAATGTGATCTCTTTGCACCTGCTCAGGTTTCTCAGTACTGTCAAGGTGGCCTACATATTCTCCTGTGCCTCAGAGTCCCAGGCCAGTGCTTGGTTGAGGAGGAAGGGCCCACCCATGCCATCTATCCTAGAAAACAGCTCCCCCTGTGAGCAGCTGCTCCATCCGGGGCTACTCAGTCATAGGCCCAGAGGGGAGTGGAAAGAGGGTGAGGGTAGAGTGTGAGGGGCTGGTGCTCCCCTCTCCCCTAGGGAGCTGGCCACCTCACTTCCTCTCCGCCCTCCCAGAGGCCCCAGGACCTTCATCTCAGTCCTGGTGGGAGGATTTGCATCCAAGAATGGGATGCCACTAAGGATACTGAGCCCATGACCAAAAATAACCCAAGTGGCTGATGGGGAAGGGGAGAATGCTTCTGCAGCAGGACCGGGAGGCGGTGCTCTCCGCTGCCTCATGATCAGGCCCCTGTGGGCGCTGTGTCCCCTTCCTTGCTCCTTGTGGCAAAGGTGGACCCCAAGCTGCTGCTCCTGGCCTCCCCTCCTTGCCTGCCCTGTGGCATCATTCAGAGCTCCCTCTGGCTGAGAGGCCCTCTAGGGTCTGGCACCTGGAGCCTGAGGTCCTTTCTGGAGTCAGAGGGCGCCTGGCAGCTGGGCTGGGAGCTCTCGCGCAGTAGGGTATGCACGGGCTCTGCCAGGACAGGGAACGCCTTGCTCCTTCCGAGGCAGGGTTTCATTCTGCTGCCTAGGCTGGCCTGAACGCCTGCCCAGCCACTACACAGAGGGGCATACCACCATGTCTGGTTCCTGTCTCCTCTATTGTTGCAGCCACCTCCATAACAACATGCATTCATTCATTCACCAGCTATTAACTGGGTCTAAGTCCTTGCTATGCCCAGTGCCTAGAGATACAAGCTTAGAAAAGGATACAAGCTCCTACAGCGCTGGAGGGCATGGAATGGGTAGGTATGGCAGCAGTGACAGTTACACCAGAGGGTAGGGACTGTGACAGGGACACAGCGGTGCTGGGTGAATGCTGGGGAGATATGGGGGAAACAGATGGAGCTTTTAACCTGCTAGATGTCCAGTTTACCAAGCTTATGTTCCCCAAAGCCAAAGAACAAATTCTGAGGAACAACAGAGGTTAAGAGTAGGAAATTTTATTGAGGGAGAGACAGATCCTGAGAGAAACAGCAAGGGGCCCAGGAAGTGGATTGCCACGGACTGTACTTTACAGAGGTGGTTTTATAGAGACAAAAATCAAGAGTGGGGTATAAAATTCTGAACAAGGTCACAGTACAGTCACTTAGGTAATATTGACCCAACAAAGAAGCAAGTCACGTACATAGATGACGTTATTAGCCTCAATCAATAATCTATAGACTCGGGCCAGGGAGATGGCTCAGTAGAATAAATGCTTGCCTGGCAAGTGCAGGGTCCTGAATTCAATCCCTGGTAATGCATAATAATAATAATAATAATAATAATAATAATAATAATAATCTATAGACTCATGGTCTTGTCTTTGGTCTGCCTTAGTGGGTGGGAGAGGATGGTCCACCCCTAATTGAATGGTATATTTATGTGGGAAAACTCAAAAGGGTGGTACCAATAATCTCAAGCTTCCATTTATCCCTTAGGGAAATATGTAACTCTGGCCACTGTAATTTTCTTTTTTCTTTTCTTTTCTTTTCTTTTTTTT